ACGGTATTTCAACAAAGGTCATAAAAGCTGTAGCCCACGAAATCTGTACACATCTGTCCTACATTATAAACCTATGCATAGATGCTGGCACCTTTCCGGAAGCACTTAAAATAACAATAGTGAAACCTCTATTCAAAAAAGAGAACAGGGAACATATGCAATACTACCGACCCATCTCCCTTATAAGTGTACTATCAAAAATATTTGAAAAACACATATATAGACATTTATACAGCTATCTGGAGAAAAATAATATACTTACTCCAGAACAAAAGGGTTTTCGTTCTAATAAAACAATAAATATGGCTATTTATGACTTTATGTATAGAGTAATAACAAATGTTGATAAAACCACTCCTGTTAGCACCATATTTTGCGATATGACACAAGCATTTGACTATGTCTGTCATAACACTTTGATTAAAAAATTGGAAGCTTATGGTATCCGAGGTAACGTATTGCGTCTCATAGAATCATACATTACATTAGGAACAGAAAACAGTACACAGAAATAACCTCAATAAATACACACACAAAACAAGAAGAAATTTATAGATCATCTTGTCGTGTTATCAGATACGGTGTACCCCAAGGCAGTGTTTTAGGTCCTTTACTATTTATTATTTATATCAATGATCTACCCAAAAGCATTGACCAATACGTGACTTTATTCGCCGATGATAGTACAATAACTATACCATGTAAAAATAGAGATACCTATAACGGAAACATTAATGATTCGCTAATGTCTATGATACAATGGTTAGAAAACAATAATTTAAAAATCAATTTGGAAAAAACCAATATTATGCACTTTACACAGAGAGGATCAACCATGTCTAACCTACATATACACTACAATAATAAAATAGTTAATGAAGTTGACAACGCAAAATTCCTGGGTGTAATCATAGACAAAAAACTAAATTGGAAAGCACACACAGAATCACTAACAAAAAAAATAAGTAAATCTTGTTATGCAATTTATAAATTAGTTCCAGTGCTCAACATTGACGCCCTCCTTACAGCATACCATGGTTTAGTTTCATCGAATCTAAGATACGGCATTATATTTTGGGGAAATTCTACTAATAAAGAATTAGTATTCAAAGCCCAAAAGCGTTGCTTGAGAACTATGTTTAAGCTGAAGGTCACCGATAGCTGCAAGCAATTTTTCATAAAATATAAAATACTGACTGTACCCTCTCTTTATATCTTAGAAAGCGCAATGTTTATTAAGAACAATCTAACCCTGTTTCCACGTCTAAGTGATACGGTTGTTCGTAATAGACGCGATAATAGCAAAATTAGATTAATTTATTCAAAAACTAGCTTAATGAATAACAGTATATGTTGCATGGGCCCAAAAGTTTACAATAAAATTCCTAAGCTTTGGAAAGAATACAACACAAACATTTTCAAAAATAAATTAAAAGATTTTCTCACCAATAAAGCCTACTATAGCATTAAGGATTTTCTACAGGACCACATAGACTAACATTACACACTTTATTTTTCAAAACTATTTGACATTTAATTTTAAAGACATGAATTGTATTGACTAGTTTTATATTGATATATTATTCGTATTATTTATTGATTGACATACACATTTCTGACATTTCATTAAGCAATTGACGAAACGCGGAATGGACATGATGGTTCTTGGGCTTGTTGTGGCTGCATGTATGACTGATTAATTTGATTGATTTGTGAATTAATGACTAATTAATGATACATAAATGAAAGTATTTTTTGCCTAATCTATTGACTAATATTGAATTTGATTAGTATATACAATTTGGCTGAGACATTACCAATGTTTGCATGCCCAATGGGTAGAACAAAGAGATATATGTAACTTATATAAATACCACCTTAGTCAATATGTACTACACCTTTGTTCAGCAAATAAAGTTATTTTGATTTGATTTTGATTTGAAAAAAAAAAAATATTTTCGTAACGACTACATTTGGATTCCTTTGTAATTTTATCTAACACCTTATCTGTTTGATAAAGTGGACCGCAATGTAGAGTTACAAATAGTGTAGACGTATTTTACGGTCGAATTTATACCTGATGTAGAAATACTACTTTAATTAAGTGTAGGAGAGCCAAGTTTACCGGCGTGAAACAACCACAGCGTTGTGTTTCGCCGTGTGAGTGAGGTTATCGGAGGCTCAATCCCACCTCCTCCAATCCCTAAAAATCCAAAACCCCTATCCCAAAAGGCTTTGGTGTTGCTGGTGTCCATGGGCGGCGCCGATTGCTTACCATCAGGTAATTCGTCTGCTTGTTTGCTGACCTATACCATAAAAAGAATACCACGGAGACGTCAATTATAGTCGTGGTGATTCGAAACTTCAGTCGAGCTTCTAATGCATGAAGAAAGGTACGAAACCTGGCAAGACATGTGACTTTTTCCGAGTTATATGTAGGTACTTTCTTTGATTATTTAGACACAACTGACAATCGGTGAAGGAAAACATCGTAAGGAAACCTAGACCTATAATTTCTAATTATAAGTTTGAAATCGCTAAACCACCTTAAGCAACCGTGGCGATTAATAACCAAACCTTCTCCCTATGAGAAGAGGCCTTTGCGCAGCAGTGGACACTTATAGGCTGATGATGATTATTATTATTATTGCACACTGGACGACTTCATCCCGAATCCTTATCACTTCACAAGGTTACCTGTCTGTAAGAAATCGCATTTAGCTATAAGTCCGCTCGTTATATTTACATAGGTATTATAAAATAAAGTTTGTCGTATATATTTTTATGATGTACTTAATAAACTACCAATGGAAATTATGGAATTGTAAATAAATGAATGTCAAAAACTTTTTTTAGTAATTCTACATTATGAGATAGCAATTTGTGACGTCATAACGATTGCATGTGAAAAATATTCCATCCTAAAAAAAAATTAACTCCATCATAAAAAAAACGAAAAATTAGCATCTATTTATAGTATATCAATAATTCAATCATCAACTAAATTTTGAGTATTCAAATTAAATCAATCAAATCAAAATAAATTATTTGGATTCCAACTAAACCATAAATAGGTACTTTTGAAACGTCAAAATAGAAAAGTAGTCTGTCAGTCTGTTCGTCAGTGATTTTCTGATTCATGAAAACAATAGGCTGCGCGACGTCGCCGCGTCCGCGCACGCTGCTCATGAGGAAGAACCCCTCTGTGGTTCGAAACTAGTGGAGCTTTTCTCAATTACACACGTGAGTAACCCGCGATTTTTAGTTAATTTAGTATGTCTCACGATAGTTATTATAAAAACATGTAAAACTGGTGACGAAAATAGGAACATTCACCTTTAAATATAATCTGAGAAAGAAACTACCGACACTGTTATCAGAGTATGTCAGCCAGTACTTAGCATTTAGAACTATGAAGTTGTTAAGTTAATGGTTTACAATTAGCGCTGAGTACAGTGATTAAGACAGACAGAGATAGCAGTATATGTTTAATTGTGAGAGTTAATGAGAGGGCTATTAGGGAATGAGATAAAAATTAGAAGCTGTACAACACTATTTCGTCTGGCTATTCAGTTTATTGTATTGTCATTGTTCTAAAATTCTGTTTATCCTTATCTTTTTTTTTTTAAATACGTTGCCCCACACTAAGATTTTCTCCCATGTCGTGGGTGCGTTTACAAACATACAATTTCACATGCACATCACACCCAGACCCGGAACAACAATCTGTGGATCACACAAAGAGTTGTTCCGTGCGGAAATCGAACCCGCGATACGTTGTACCTATGTTTCAATTTAATATTTATTATTTTAGTAATAGTCCTATTAATTTTATTAAATTTAACAATGAAGAGCTGTTTTGCCATTGTTTTCGCATTCTCTCTAAGTCATGGAGACATTATGTACCTAAGTGGACTTCCCCCATGATTACATGAGTCAGAAAATAAATAAACTCAAGTTTCCTCCTTTGTAGTTGATTTAGCTGTTTAGTTTTATGCATGGTTGTGTAGTCTTAGGTTCATATTCAGACGTTTATTATTAATATTTAAGTAAGAATTATAAAAATAAACGATAAATTAATGAGAAATGAATTACGAAAACATGAAGTAGGTATGATATACATATATGATAAATAATGGTTTAAAAAATAATATCAGTCGGCTGTGCAACGTCGTCGCCTTAAAGCGGACTCTACTCATGGATGAGATTCCCGTTGTGTTTAAAACAAGTAGTAGTTGTATTAAGTTTTTCCAATTTAATTCTAGCGAGTAATTCCTTCTTTTGAATATACTAATCAAATGAAAGGTTTGGCATGGATTTTCTCTCATCGGAACAGATGTATAGAGACTACAAATAATATAATAAGTTCTTAACTAACTATTCTTTAACTAGAGAAATATCTAATAAACATTAATAACTAGCTCTTACCCGCGGCGTCGCTCACGTCATTTGACTACCTACCCTACTCTACTTACCCTACCTACCCTACTCTTCCTACTCTACTCTTTCTACCCTACTCTACCTACCCTAATGTACCGTCCCTAGTCTACCTATCCTACTCTACCTACCCTACTCTTCCTACCCTACTCTACATACCCTACTCTACCTACACTACTCTACCTACCCTACTCTACCTACCCCACTCTACCTAACCTATTCTACCTACTCTATCCTATGTCCTTCTCCTGGCTCTAAAATACCTCCCTGCCAAATTTCAGCTAAATCGGTTCAGCCGTTCTTGAGTTATAAGTGGAGTAACTAGCACGACTTTCTTTCTATTATAATAGCATCATCACCAGTATCGGCTGATGATACTTATACCTACTTATAGAAGTATCCACTGCTGACCAAAAACTTCTCACACGGAGAAAATTAAAAGAATTTAAATAAGACAGTAAAACAAATATATATTTTTTTACATTTTACTGTGTAGATACTTTAGTTCGTTTTGCCCTGTCTACACACGCATAAGTCTACATGTCGATATTTAACAAGGAAACTGATAAGCTCCAACAATCGTCTGTGGACTCAGTAATGTGTGTACGACTGTGTAGTGCCAGTGCTGTGCCTAAAATGTGATTGGATTTTATAAACATGCCTATTATAAAAGGTACGTTCTAATTTTAAAATTTTTACTTTTTTTATGATAAGTATTTATTTATGTTTCTCAACGATGTATAAAACCAGCCAGGGTAAGCCTGGCTGGTTTGGGTGCAAGCGCACTCTATGAAGGTACCAAATTTAAAAAATAAATAAAAGAAGAATATTGTTGCCTGAGTATTATTATTTAAATGGCAGATAAAAGTAGCCCTAAGTTAAATAATAATTAAAATGAAATTTCTAATTCTAAAATTAATAGAGTAAGTGCAGCCTCGGCCTGTAGCAGAAGAAAGAGCGGGATGGTTTATAGTCAGTAAGACTCTGACACTCCCTCGTGCCTCGATCAGCGAGAGTAAGAGTCTAGCTATCCCTCTCGGTCCACCCAGGGTGACGAACCTCGATTAGGGCGAGAAAGCCACTACGATATTCTCCCCTCCAAAAGATATTTACAAGCTCATACTGAGTTTCTAAGATATGGATTTGGTATAGTTATAACATAAAAAAAATATTTATGCTAATGTATTAATTACCGACTGTCTTTATCTACTTACTGTAGCTTTCCAGCAGTGAAATATTTTTTCAAATCGGTCAAGTAGTTTCAGAGTCAATTCAATTCAAAACGAACAAACAATCAATCACAGTTCCGAGTCTGACCAGGGCGAGAATGCCATTTGGTGATTTCCTGCCCCCAAAAGTTCGTTATTTGTGATCCGCTAAATGCTGGTGATAGAAACGTTTGCGCTGTAGCCACATTAGCATATTTATTTATATTTTTTTTCTGTAATAATATATTTGAAGGCACCGGAGGGTTGGTACAAACATCAACAACCTGATCATCGTCTTCACAGTCCTTCGCAGGGCGTAGGATTTTATAATCAGACCGAATAAATTATAAAAATAACGGACGTCGGCGATCCGCCTCCTATGACAGTCACAGCGCTCGCTCTCCACACGGACGCAGAACTGTCAGTTTGACGTTCCGCCTGAGTACGATTTATGGTACCCTCGTCCGATGAATTGTGATAAAACCTCCTTCAAAATTCAATTTAAATAATCGACGCTCTTACATATTCTATGTGCTGGATGTGGGTGTTTTGTAAAACTCTTTGATTCGACGTCACTTTACGTGTCTCATGTACCAGTATCACTGACTCTGTTTCAGTTTGTTTCCAAATCAAAGTCAACAGCGGAAATATATTCAAATTGAACCACTCACTGTCGCCTTTTACATTCCCATAACTTCAAGCTTTTTATTCCCCGTAGAGTAGACATAGGTACAAATTTGAAGTACGTACATACAGGCCATGGTACTAGCTACATTATATGCATCTATACTATTATTATAAAGAGGTAAAATTTGTAAGTTTGTATGTAGGGGGTAATATTCGGAACTGCTGGTCGGATTGCCAAAATTCTTTCACTGATAGAAAGCCGCAATGTTCCTGAGTGCTATGGGCTATAAAACATCACGCTACGATCAAATGGAGCCGAGCAGTGGGTGAAACCGCGTGAGAGTAGCTAGTATCCTATAAAATCTACGCATATAAAAAATGTATCCAAGGATTTTTAAAACAGCAGCGTTTAAAGCGATAGCTCGACTAAAATAACACAAATTAATTATCCCGTAAATACAAACTTACAAATTGTACCTTTTTTAATATTAGTATAAGTTTTATAAATGTTCAATATTATAAAGTATTTTTGACGGACAAAATGATCAACTGACTTCCTTTAACTTAAGTGGGGGAAGAGGGAGTTTCAGACTCTTACTGGCTTCACCCCCTTTCTACTTCTGCTTCTCAGGACGCGAGAAATCACTTGATGATTTCCTATCTCACACAAAATAGCGATTAAAAATAAGTTCTTATATAGCCCTTTAAAAAACAACAAGCAAAATATTCAAGATGTCGGATTTGTTTGGCAATTTCCTTCCCGTAGCGGTTTGCAATTTTCCACAAGCAGGCTGTCATGACAATCTGCTTGTATTTAAATAATTATTTTTCGCGTTAATAGCCCCGTAATTATACATATATTGTAAATATGAAACGCGAAAGTTTAAAAGTTAATATAGCAAACCGCTACGGGTCGTCAACAAGCAAAATGTTATACATAATAAATAAGTGTGGGAGAGCCATGCTTCGGCACGAATGGGTCGGCTCGACCGGAGTGATACCAAGGCCTCACAGAAAACCAGCGTGAAACAACCACAGCGTTGTGTTCCGCCGCGTGACTGAGGTTACCGGAGGCCCAATCCTTTCCCTCCCTCAATCCTTCTTCAATCCCCAAATCTCCAAATCCCTAATCCCTACAAGGTCGGCAACCGACGCACTCGTAACTCCTCCGTTGCGGGTGTCCATGGACGGCGCTGATTGCTTACCATTAGGTAATCCGTCTGCTCGTTTGCCGATCTAACTATTACAAAAAAAAAAACATATTATGCTCTCGTCAGGTGGATTCCTTGATAGTTTGCATTAGGTATTTTTACTTGTTACTCGGGTTCGGCGAACGCGATATTAATGTAGCGGGCAAACCATGTTATTGAAAAAAACGTGTTGACACATACAGAAAAATACCTATATAATCACTTAAAATTACATATCGCGATATTTACTTAAATGGAAACTGACGATATCTTATTTATTTAACCGGGTTGAACTTAAAAAGTCAGTTTTTTTTGCATATTTTTTTGATAGCAAATATTGTAAGTAGTTTGCTTGTAAATTTTACGATGTTCTTATCAAATTTCGATCAGGTTTTTTTTATCATATGATAACCCTTGGTTGACTTAGAAACCTGGAATGTCAGCGTCAAAGATTTTTTATATAATAGGTCTTTACCTATGAAATTGCCGTTCTGCAGTACTGGCCATTTCAAATCAAAATAGTTTTTGTTAGGCTGGGGATAGGGTTCTTTTTCCAAAAGTAGTCATTTGTTTATTGATTAGTGTTACATTTTCATCGCATTTCAAATCAAAAAATTCGTTTAAATTTTTTCATGTAAAACGGCAATTTCATAGATAAAGACCTATTATTAAAGTAGCGGCCCGTCCCCGCTTAGCACGGTTCCTAACTATCTCGCTTACAACGAAAAAGTCAACTCTACTCTACTTTTCTAATATTTTCACTGAAAAGAACCTTCTCCTGACAATAATTAATACAACAAAAAAAGAATAAGCAAAATTGGTCCAGCTGTTACCGAGTTACGCGCTCACCAACACATTTTGCTCTGCATTTTTATATTAATATTATAGATATGATAGTGACGGTAAGAAAAATAAGTCTATTTGATTCGTGTCTAACAGTTGGATAATTACTACATAGTGTAAAACAAAGTCGCTTTCTCTATCCCTATATCCCTATGTATGCTTAAATCTTTAAAACTACGCAACGGATTGTGATGCGGCTTTAATAATGGATAGAGGTGACGAGGAAGATGTTAACTGTCAAAATGTCAATTTATGCGCATCTGTGGATCCCATTACAGGACTTTCCACAGATATGGGTTTGAGCACTAATTTTTAAGACCTAGGTTTGGAAAAAACATTTTTTTTCTAAATCTCGTTAAAATTTTGTAAAATTACAGTAAATTTTATAATAAAGATATATTTCTTTAATTTCTTACACCACTTACACTTGATTTTGAATTGCATTGTAACTGTTCTAGGAAAAAGAATATGAGACTCCTAAAACTAAAAAAAAACTTTACTTTTATTCTCTTATTTATAAAAAATAAAACGATTGCTGGATGTAATATTATATTTTTTTTATACAATAATATATATCTGATAAAATTAAAACACAAATGGCATACTTCCCATATATTTTTTTTTCACTGATCCTATTTTAAAACTTTGGACCAAAAACTCTTCAAAAGCCACTTCAGTGGGTCTCATATTTCATTAGTTAAAAATACATTCCTGACGTCAGGGACAAAGCATTTTTTGTATACAACAATTTTAACTTACTACCGACCTATTTTAAATAATGGCACGTTGTAATATTCAATATATCTTGAGTATGGATGTATCAAAAATTAGACTCATAATTTTATTGTTACAAAAAACATTGTCTCACAAAAACTAAGATTTTGCAGAATAAATTCTTACAACTGTTATAATTTTTACTTTTTCAAGATTTACATAGAACTAGGTATTAATTATAATGAAAAAGACTACATGTTTGGAAGAGAAATATCAAAAACTATGTTATTAAAACCACAAACACAACCAATAATTTGCGGCAATCGCTGACTGAACTGGTCACAGATTATCACAACAAATTTCAACTTTTTTTGTACTATAAACGTGCTAACTTATATGTTAGAGGGAGAGTCAGTTCATTCTTATACGATTTTTCATGTGTGCGAAAGAGTAAGAACTACGTAGACGTTAAAATATGCTCAAAACCAAACGAGGTAAACGCAGCCGAGGCGGGTCCTGTGACAGGACGTTCCACAGACACGCCAAAATTACCGTGTCCTTTAATGGGACGCGTTAACAGACGAGAAGATATTATAGATATGATAGTGACGGTAAGAAAAATAAGTCTATTTGATTCGTGTCTAACAGTTGGATAATTACTACATAGTGTAAAACAAAGTCGCTTTCTCTGTCCCTATATCCCTATGTATGCTTAAATCTTTAAAACTACGCTACGGATTGTGATGCGGTTTTAATAATGGATAGAGGTGACTAGGAAGCTTTATATTTAAAATAATGTTGATAAAATAATGATACTATATTTCCTCCGCATTTGTATTTAGAATGTTCATAAAGTATTAAATAAGTAAGCGGGGCGGGTAGCCAGTGAAATACTTATTGATATACACTTTTTTATTTTGTCTTTAATAAACTTCAGTTTTATGAAAGATAAGTCTCTACGTCACTGCTCAGTATAAAAAATACTAAATTGTGACGTCACACAATATTTCAAATCAATATCCGAAAGTCCGTCGAAACTTCGAAAGGGTTTGATTCCCTAGTACCTTTATTTGTCAGGGGAAAATCATCAA